TTATTAGAAAACGTTATTTGTGGTTTTACACATCAAAGCAATCTACATTATTTTAGAAGCGTCAGTGGTTTCCGATCACTGTACTGAATTTTGAATTTGAAGGGAAAAAATGAAATTCTGCACTTTATACACAGAGTCCGTAAATATGCAGTGGGTGGAGGAATCAGCCAGGCACCCGTGCATTGTTTCTACCCAAAGCAGACCAATTTAGTTGACAAAACATCTACCTGTTACTGTTACACAATTCCTGTTGGAACCTATAGCCGAAGGCTGTATTAGTTCAGTTCATTAGAGTACCCTACACATTACTCGATTACACACATAATAAGAATTAGCAAATGCTAAAAGCACTTAAAAAGTTTGAGAACCGAAAGTTTTTACATTTCATTTTACATCTCAACAACATTTTACATCAAACACATTCTTGGCTTCAGAGTTATCTTACGTTTTATCATCATATACCACATAATACTTATTTATTTATGTTTGCGTGATAAACACTATCACTGTGTTATTTTCTTGACTTTACATATATACTAATGATAAAACGTTTTTTTAGATTCTAGGCTTATTTTTCAAACGCTCCGCCCAACAAGCGGAGGAACTGAAATGTTACGCGGAACCCAAATGTTGAAGCTGTAGTGCTAAGAAGTCTCCAGTTTGTCAACACGTCCATCCGGTAGTCTACTGGATTGCTTTTGTTATGAATTAAATTGTTTTGTCGTATTTAGACACATTACGTGTTTCTTTTTTTGCTCGAGTTCGGAAAATGCTTTGGACTATTGCCGGAGTCGAAGAAACAGACACATATAACGAAACTAAAATGCTCTGTCATTTCTATTACAAAAGCATTGAAGGCGAAAGTCACAGTATTAAGTAAAAGTATTTTCATTTTGAAAGACTTACCCGCAGAACCGCCAGCCATGATTTGGTGAGACGCTTCCCTTAATAAAGTCTGCTTCTTACCAGACATTTTTCCAACGTTGTCAAAACTGCAGGAGGGAAAATCAAGGTCCGTGTAAAAAAGCCAGCCACCATAAAACTTTGAAAGGAGCCGGACTTCAAACCTTCCAAACCACGTTAACGCTTAGTGGATTGTATTCACGGGGGAAATTTAATGTAATAATCGTGACATATAACAACAAGTTTGTTGTTGTGACACATGCAAAGGCGGGATGACAGCGAGTTTCTAGAGATCCGTGTGTGAATTTTCGTTACCTGTGCGTCTTCGCTGTTGGAAATAAAAAAGTTTTAAGTGAGACGGAAGACCTCTGTTAAGTACAATAGTTTCAGATGGAAACACTGCAGTGTTACGTCTTCGCTACTTTCGAGCTGTTGAGTGTAGTGATGGCCTTTTAAGCGTGCAATAAACAGCTTAAGCAACAAAAGTTACTTATAGCCCTCTGCTGTCAAAGAACAGTACAGCCTCGGAGCACGAATTTCCCACTGCTGCTGTAGATAGCTAAAGCAATTAAATAGGATATGAGCAATTTGATTTAATGCAAGAACTATCTCCGTGTATGTACACTTTTCATATCTCAGTTAATTGTAAGAGTTCCAAAATACCAACTGTAAAGTAGAACGTTTTGATAGAGTTCTAGAGTTAACCTTTTCTTTGTTCTGACATATTCTGATACACCAATAAACAGTCACAGTCTACTGATTTGAATTTGGTTTTATTTTGTTTTATGGCTTTTACAGACAGCTTCTAGATATACAGTGGGACAAATGATATTAATCCTTTATTGCCCAAGAACATAAAAAATCTCATAAATGATCTGATGTAATTTGGCCCATTTAGCTCTGTTGTTTTTGCTTGTAGAAAAATGATCTAAGGATGTCAAACAGCCAATTCTTGAAGAAAGTTAGGGTACCAGCTTAGGCAACATGACTGGACAGCTTGTTCCAGACTCCCACAACCCTTTGTGTAAAGCAGGTCTCTGTTTTGTAAACACTTCCTCTTATTGTTTGGTTTGTGTTTCACCATTGATTCCGGATAACACATGGAACTGACTTGGGAATAAAAAATACCTATAATATAATGTTTCTTTATTAGCCCTATACAATTTCTTGCATTAGGAATTCATCTTTTCGCATACCCCAGCTTTTCTCCATGGAGACACAGACAGGAGAAGCTTGGGGTCAGAGCGCAGGGTCTGCCATTGTACGGCACCCCTGGAGCAGTTAGGGTTAAGGGCCTTGCTCAGGGGCCCAACAGAGTAGGATTCCTCTGCCAGCCCTGGGATTTGAACTGGCAACCTTCCAGTCACAGGTGCAGAGCCTTAGCCACAGAGGCGGCGCTCCGCCCACAGCTAATACTGTAGATCAATTAAGCATTGAGATCTGGATTTGAGGGTCACTTTTCTTACTGACCAATGTTAGAGAGTGGAGTGGAAACCATATGGAACATATGGAAACCACAACCCCTGTGACTTTTGAGGATAAGATCTTGGTAAAGTCACAGGGGTTTTGGTTTCTATCTCTTGTGTGTTTTCAGAACCAACTGATCGATTTGTGTTTTTGTAAATCTAGCTAAACACAACTAGAAAACCAGCAGGAGTGGACCTCCAGGACTGGGCTAAACCACCAGTGATCGCTTAAAGTATTGGTAGAACATTTGTAATAACACAAATACTGTATAGCCGTTTCCAATGAATTCTGTGGCTCTCAGAAGCTGTTGCGATCCTCTTTTCACCATCTTTTGACCGATGGCCAGAGGAATACTATGTAATTTCTCTCACATCTCCGTTTTTCTTTCTGCAGGAAAATGAGCTCTCCATGGTCTCCAGGACTCTGAGCGGGCCATGAAATCTTTTCAACGCTGTTCTCCTCAAAGTGCTGTGTTACGCTCCCTGCAGAGAGAAGCTTTTCCAAATGCACTGGTAATTCAGTCTGTGCATTTCATGAAGGAAAGAAGGTCTTGAAATGTTTGAAAATATTTTTAAAGTTGGAATTGCTTATGGGCGGGCGGCACCATGCCGCAGTGCTAAGCTTTGCTGCCTTGCAGCGCTGGGGCCCTGGGTTCTCTCTGTTTCTCCCCGTGTTTGTGCGGGTTTGCTCTGTGTGCTCCGATTTCCTCCCACAGTCCACAGACATACTGGTAGATTAACTGGCTTCTGGGAGATTTGGCCCTGCTGTGAGTGTCGGTGTACCCTCTGTCCTATCCATGGTGTATCCTGTCCTGTGCCTGTTGCTTGTAGTGTTAGGCTCCATGTCCCCCTTGACATGGTATTGGATAAAACAGTTAGAAAATGGAATAATGGATAGATTTATTGTGGTCAATAAAACAGAATCTGATTTAAAAACTTTAAAAACTTGGTTACAGCACCAAACATGCTGCAAGGCATTGGCTTTCCTTTAACAGAAGTGTACCACCTTTGTTTCAAGTTTGAAATGGATGTATATCAGGTGAGCAGTGAATTAAATAAGAGCTAATTGTTCATTTGGGACTTGAGGTTGTTAATTTTATTTTTAAATAAATGTAATTTACAGCTTGCTTTTGGCAGGATAATATCATTATTACTGTGACCTGCTTATACTCTTGAGTGTTCAGGGAATGACTCACCCTGTCATTTGGTCCCAGTTCGTGCGCTATGCAGCAGATGTACATTAATGGATTGACTTGGCTAATAAAAGTCCATTAATCTAAAAAATCATGTTTTGCTCATTAACAATTTCATGATTTTCCTTGGTTTGAAGTCCAACGTACACATGGTATTTCAGACTGATTTCTACATAAACCATTGTGCACTGTACTACTTTTTAAAATAATTTTGTAAAACAATTCTCATTTACAACGGTATAATATAATTGTTTTGAAACACAAAATACAAGTCTAAACAAGAATCTGCACTTTTTATTACATCTTTACAAAATGAGCAATTGTTCAGAAAGATGTAAGGAAAACAAACAAAAACTCTATGCCTGTTTTAATCCTGATCATAAGAATTACTTTGCATTTATATGGTATTTTAATATCCCAGAGGATACAAAACGTGTTTTACGTAAGGGGGAACTCACCATTATCCACTACTCAAGTGTACCTGGGTTTCACATGGCACCCATTATGCGCCAGTAGCCCCATTATACTGTGGATCAGATGTTAAAGTGAGAAATTGCTCCTCAAATAAAAAGGATTCCAGGAATTTAGCTAGTGGACCAGGGATAACACCACTACTCTTTCAAATAGTGTCAGGGAATCTTCAAAGACCAAGTAGATCATGATCTCAATTTCTCACCCCTGAAGGACAGCACCTCTTATAGGACAGAGTTCCCTGTCACCATACTGGCATGGGAATTCTGCTCCTGTGGCAAGAGCTCATCCTACTAGTCCGTCAACTTCACTGCAACAACCTGGGTTTTCCTGAATGTCTCCAACCCCAGTACTGACCAGGCCCAGCATCTAAGATCTGACAAGATCCAGCTACAAGATGGAAATACTGCTGCTATGCTATTGTCTGTCACCAGGATTCTTCAAGAGATGGTCCGTTTCTGGTATTGTGTGGTCTTGATCTGGCTGCAACCATACCTGCTGGGCTAGCAAACTACTCATCATTGAGAGCTCCCACTCTTCCAGTTGAAGCAGGTCCTATGAGCTTGCCATTCACAAATTGACTGACGATCCTGTGAAGGGTGTGTTTTGGAAGAAAGCATGCCCTCTCCTACCCATGCTATGTTGCAATGTACAACTCTGTAAACCTGAGCCAATTAACTCCTGCTTCCATCCATTTTCTAACCCATTTATCCAATTCAGGGTTGCAGGGAAGCCGAAGCCTATCCCAGCAAGCAATGGGAGCCAAGCAGGACACACTCTGTGATGGACAGGTGTCCCATCCAGGACAGACATAAACACACAGACTTTTCCAAGCAGCAATACTAACCACTGTGCCACCATGCTGCCCCCATTTGACACATCACAGTAGCAAATATGAAGTGGAGGCGCGTACAGTAACTAAAACCAAACTACACCACATGGTCATTTTTTCATGATCTTAAGGCTTAATTATAATTACTGCTTGTGACTTTGTGTGATGATCAGTGCTTTCTCTACACAGGTAAATAGAAAAATTGTCAACACAAACAAAGAAAAATGGTGCACAAAATCATTTATTCCATCACATTCAGTTGCATGCACAGCATCTATTGCATCCCTGACTTAACACGTCCTCATTTTACAGAATATGATACAGCTGTTTTTAGTGTCAAGTCATGTTAATAAATTCTATTGCTATATTAAAAAAATCCAGCACCTCATGAGACCAAAATGCTCTAGTAAACTTACACTAATTATTACATTGTGCAACAGAACTAAACATTTTCACTACAACACAGCAAAACAATAATTAAAAATTGCAAATAAATAGGGCCATTTGCCACATTACAAAAGACAGTGGTTTGATCCAAACAAGATTCAAGTATTTCACACAAATAGGATTTGGACAGACCTTGGAGCTTCTTGATAGGTAGGAAACTAAACTAATTTGAATTTTAGTAAGCATCTGCATTAAGGAGATGAGATCCTCTGATTTTGTTCCATTAATACAGGTCACAGCACAGCCATTACAGATTTTCTTTGTTAAAGAGATAAGATCCTATTCAATCTATTTTTCAGAAAAGCCTCGGTGCATTATTGCAGGTATTTTAAAAGAACTATAGTCTATTTTATCTGATCGTGTACAGTACATGGCCGACTGTTAATGCATTTTCATTGTAGACAACATAGTGATGCTCCACACAGTTTACAGAAAAATATATAATTCTACATCTGAAAAATTCTATTTCTATTTTACTGCTGCTAAAACACCAGAAATGTTTTATTAATTTCTGTAGGAATTGTTCTCATGTTATGAGATGTCACATGTGGCCAGGATGAATTGACAAGAGTATAGCCAGTCTAAGCTGTGCATAGTAGATTAACATCCACATCTTTACTGTGTGGCTATACGGTATAACATTACAATATAACTGGGACTATCTGAAATAAAAAATGCCCTTCAGGCAACTGCAAAACCAAATACAATATAAAACCTTTCTGTTTGGGAAGAACTCAAGCATGTCTGTAAAATAATAGCCTTAAGCTATCAATACTGTCTAGTAACTAAAGGATCTGCAGTTAGTTTTACTTCAAGTTTGAGTTGTCTGAAATGAGCAACTTGGTTTTTAAATCTTGATTTGTACCATATACAACAGAAAAAAAACCTGTTAATTATATTAAGAACATGTAAATTATTTTGTGCAAACAGCATGAACGCACTATAATTTTAAGGTCTTAAAAGGTGAATGTCTTTTTGCAATATGTTTTTCAGCGTAACACCAGATTTGGCTCAGGCACATAGCAATTTTAACATAACTGTGATAAATAAAAACTATCATATCAGAAGAGTGACAAGAATGTAGTCTTCTCAAAATCACTCTTTTACAAATGTACACATTAAACAATTTTGTGGATAACATCATCACTACCTGATACCTGTGCAAAGTAGAGAGCACTGCAATGATGGACAGGTTTCCCAGCCAGGACCGACATAAACACACAGACTTTTCCAGGCAGCAATGATCGCACTTAGTTAAATCTCACATAACAAATCTTTTAGTTGGTTACAGTAACAGCTACAAATCTCCCCAAGGCTTTTACATCAAACCTAGTGGTTTTTCATGTGACCACAAAGATTAAAATAAACTGCAAAGTAAAGGCCTCTGCTTTCATTGGCTGAGGTCAGCACTAATATCAAAGCACCTTAAACTAACACAAGGAATTCCTTCTCTGTTACTTTTATATATGAAGGCAGTTTTATATATCTTTAAAAGTTCCACTGCATAACTTGCTTACCTAAACTAGGCCTTCTGCTAATACAGCAATGGTCACCTTCTGGTGCATATTTCCACACTATATGGGTTGAACTCCGTATAAACAGAAGTTAACCCCAGGTGTGGAGCGTCTCTAGTGGTCAAATAATTTGGTGTTCGAGGTGCTTGGCAGTCACATGAGATGACTGAAGTCAGTGGTTTTAAACAGTCAGTGGTTTTTCAGCGAACGCTGACATTTCGATTGTTCACGTTTGAGAATCGCCCGCAAAATCACTCCAGTGTAACAGAATTTCAAGCAACGCCACAAAATATATACAGAACATGCAACCAATTAAAGATGACTTATCAGCTTGTCTTCTACACTGGCTGTACTTCAGAAGGAACTGTTTTTCTATCAGGTAGGCCTACAACGTTTGTTTTACAAAACAAAAAGAATAAAGAAAAAAGAAACAGACCCCAATAAAGACTTCAGTCTGGGATTTGTCAGAAGCAAGTGGAATGGAGTACATGTGCTGGTTAGTGTCTAGCGATGCACCTACTACAGAACCTATTCATCTCAACGGCATTGATGGAAATTCTCCATAAGTCTTTATTTCGGGAAGACATAAAGTGATTCAATACAAGGACCTTGTAACAAACTAGGATTGCTCCCTTTCTACATTTTACATTTATTCCCTACAAACAAATATCAGTGATGGGCATGTGACAGTGGACAACTGTCGTTCAGACCCTTTCAGCTTAATTTTTCAGGAAATGTAGGTATCAAGGTAGTATTAGAAGTCACAGTATAAAAGGTCATTTGGTCATGGCTTCTCATGTTGATGCCCCACAACAAGTCTCCTGATTAACACTGTTGATGTTAATAGACTGGTAGAACCCCCTATCTTTGTAGGTGTGAATCCTCCACCCCAAATCCCTCAAATTAGAAACAAGGCAGAGGAATTGATCCCTAGATTAGCCCCTCATCACCCCAGAAGTGACAAATATACAATTCTCTTCTCCTTCCCCCCAAAAAAAATTATCCAAAAAGCACCCCACTAAATGCAAACCATGTCAAGAGAATGGGGTCAATCTTGTTACGACCTTTAATGTAACAAGATTGTTAGGGCCCATGTAAACATAGCACTGGCTCCAATGAGAAATCCATTCAAAGAATCACTTCTCAACAACTGCAAACCTTCAAGAGCCCTCCCTTCTTGGTCCTGACATGTCTCGTGTGGCCCACTACATCTTGAGTTCCTTTGGCTGCACGACATAGATGAAATTTGCAGTCCCTATGTTGTTATCACTGAATCATATCTGACTTCCTGCTATGTCAGACATGGTTGCTCTGGCAACCAGCTCTTTACAACAGCGTGGGTCCCTTGGTAGTGCGAGGCACAGAGGGAAAGTGTCTGTTGTCAATGTCCCAGAGCCTCTTCTCTCCTTTGGTCCCGTGGGCAGGAGTGGGAGAATGAGGGGAGGAGGACAGCAGATTGGAGGTCCAGTAGTTGATGTAACTGGCAATCAGAAGAGTTAATTCCAGGATCTGGAGGAAGACAAAAAGGTTTCTCAAAGAGGAACTTGCAACCCCCTTTCTGCTGATAACTGACTCTCATGAAATAAATACAAAAGGAAAGCCTATAGCCTAAACGCCTAGTTGTCATTAAAACATTAAGAATTAATGTTTAACATTATTAACATTAATGAACAGAACACGCCAGTAAACGTTAAAGACATTAATAGTCATTATTAGCTAAGGATTCTTAACTAATTTCAAATGGGGTTAAGAAAAGATTCCCTCTGTGGTTTACAGAACGTCTACCTGAAATTGTTTTAGTCCAGTTTTATGCTCTCTTGCAAAATAAGATTGGAAGAAACCGTTAATGTAATGGCAGCACAAACACCAGTACAAGTCTAAAAAAATAAAATAAGAAGGTTCAGAATATGTTTATTTTATAGTTCCAGTACAGGTAACTTAGAATAGCTATGGGTAAACCTCTAAATGTTCAATAAAGTACATTGATATGTGTAGTTAATGAAACCTGATCTAGATTTAAAACAAACAAAACATGGACTATTTGAGGAACAATAACAATGTTTTTTTTAGAGATTCTGAGACTTCTGCAAAATGTTTTCTTTGCTCCAGTGGTAAACCACACTTACCTTAGGCTTTGCCATTGCAAACACTAGTTTCTCAAGGGTTTTCTTTCCAGAGTTTCGGTCTTTAGCTTGGCTGACCACTATCATAAAATCATCATGGCAACCTCCAAAGGTGACCACGGACTGATATGAATAAGTCACCACCAGGTGCTGGAGCAGAAAGAGAAGGATTGTTTTAAAGATGCAGTGCAGTACAGAAGTTTGGATGTGTAACCACTAACTTAAACGTCATTCTAGTGAACTAATTAAGATTTTATTAAGACTTATTAAAATAATAACTTATTTTTTCAAGTTCAACTTATTAAAATAAACTTTGTTACGGATTCAGATTTTGTATTCTGGTTATTTTTAAAAAGCATGCAATGCCAAACCTATGTAACTCGAAAGTTCACAGCTCCTGCAGTTGTGGTGCAAGACTTAATATTTATTATTCCTCAGCTATTTAAATTCTCTTTAAGGAAGCATCAATCAAATCCAAGTCTGTCAGTTCCTTCTTTTGTTTTTGCTTGTTTTAGGGGAAGAGGTCCAATTTTTTTTTAAACCCACATGGATAGAAACAAACTCAGCTGCTCAAAATGTCACGCCAAGATTTTATTCCTACAACAAACAGTGGCTGTGGTCTAATTCATCTGCCTATGATGAGATACATGGATGTGTAAAGAATAAAAGTGGAAAATAAAGAAAGCCTAAACAATTCTGAACATTTTACAATTGACTAAAAGGTTGAGACTGGCTGTACCCAGATATACCTGACGAAACCAAAAGGTGCTTAAATACAGTAAATTAAGTATGAAGACTATTAGTAAAGAGAAGCTGCTGGATTTAAACGATGTTGTTTCGCTACTTTAATTACACCTAAGTTACCCAGTCAGACACAAATAAGACAAAATGTAAAAAGCAGCTTATAAACAGACGTCTTTCCCACACCATGGTGTTATACTCCAGCACGCTGAGTCCGTCCTCGCTCACGGCCAGCCAGAGTGGAGCCACCTCTAAGGGGGACGGGGGGACAGGCTGCAGAGACAAGGACAGGTTTAATCAGAGAGAATTATTCATTCTGTGTGTTCAGCCTGAGCCTTATGAGGATTAAAGAGGGACAATCCGAGCATGGGGGACCTCACGGATGAGGTCATTGTGAGGTCCAGTTTTGTTGCTGTGGGTTACATCTGGGAAAAGTTTTCTCACACAGCTTTCTTAGCTGTGATAGATGCTAGCCTGCTGCAAATAAAGGAACATACAAACCCAGTTTGTGGTTGATTAATACTTCCAGTTTACTGAAGAGGTGGAAATTGTAGCCCCATGTGAGATTGTAATAATAAAGTGTTATCTGACAGTATGTATGAAATAGGTGTATGTTCAAAAATGTTATGTACTATTACCACATGTGTGTGTTAATAGTGAATCTAAGCTAAAAAGCTCAGAGTAGAGTTCGACAAGAATTTGTGGGTTAAAACATTGTAGTAGAAAACATTGCTGCCCCTTAAATGGACTACTTAACTTCCTGATATTTGTTGCAAAGAACACAAGGAATCTTACAAATAAGAGGAGGACATTTGAACCTCTGTCATGCCTTCTGCAGCCAGAGGGCGCTCCTTCTCTGTCCTGTCCCTAGTTTCCTGTGCTTTGCTGTCCTTCTAGTGTCTCTCTCTCTGGGGTTATATATTTCCGGGTCTCTCATTCACCTTCACTCAGCATTGATGTTCGGATGTCCTGAGACCCACTAGCACCAGGTCGCCCCACGTCCGCTGCCTGCTGGCGTAGGTTTCTATACGACTACTGAACTGCTGAGCCCAGGCTAATCCCCCTTTCCGCCGCTACGCATATGGGTCTTTATCCACTCTCCTGCCTCTCCACGGTTCGTCCCTTCCAACATCCGTGACAGAATGCTGAGCCTCCTACTGACCACGCGAGCGGTGCTTTTTGTTTTTCCACAGTATTTTTTCTCTGGGCTTTTTTTTCCTCTCAGCTCTCCTATTCTAATTGCGGGATGTTTTTTCCGACTCCTGTGCCTGTGAGTGGGCTGCGGCCTGGCTTTCCTCTGGTTGTCTTTCCGGCATCCATGAATGAATGTTGAGCTGACCCTCCTGTCTGCATAGCTGGATATCATTCCGGTCATCCATGCCTGTTAGCGGGCCGTGTGCCTGGCTTTCCTCAGGTTGTCCACTCTGATATCAGCGATAGGATGGTGAGCCTTTTTTCCCTCTTCCATTCTAATTGCTGGATAACACCATCCTGACATCCATGCCTGTGAGCGGGCTGCGGCCTGGCTTTCCTTGGGTTGTCTTCTGACGATATCAGTGTTAGTCTGGTGAGCCTTTTTCGCCGTTCCTCCATTCTTATTGCTGGATATCACTCCGGTCGTCCGTGTCTGTGAGCAGGCCGTGTGCCTGGCTTTCCTCGGGTTGTCCACTCCAATATCAGTGATAGAATGTGAATGTGCCCTTTGCCCAGTCTGCAGTATTTTTTCCCAGGTTTTTGTGCTTTTATTCTTGTGTTTTGATTTTTCACTTCCTGGTTTCCCCTTCTCTATGGTCCCCCTGTCCAGTGTGTCTTGGAACTTTTGGTTCTTATCTGTTTTTTGTGGTTTGTTTCCCTGGTCTCCCAGGTTTATATTTGTACTTGTCTTTTTTGTTTTAAGCCTCCAGAGCTCTACCTGACCCCCCTTCCTCTACCCAATAAAGGTTTATACCCTGGAGGAGGGGGCAGCTCTCAGTTATGGACTCCCGGAGGTTTCCTTTCAGTTAAATTAGGTTTTTCCTCCCCCTAGTGCTGTGCAGCTCACTTATTTGTATAGGCGTCAGGAGCCCCCCATGAAGGGGGAGGGGGTACTGTCACGCCCTCTGCAGCCAGAGGGCGCTCCTACTCTGTCCTGTCCCTAGTTTCCTGTGCTTTCCTGTCCTTGTGGTATCTCTCTCTCTGGGGCTATATATTTCCAGGTCTCTCATTCACTTTCACTCAGCATTGACATTCAGATGTCCTGAGACCTGCCTAGCATCCAGGTCGCCCTACGTCCGTTGCCTGAGGGCATTGGTTTCTATACGACTCCTGAACTGCTGAGCCCAGGCTAATCCCCTGTTCCGCCGCTACGCATATGGGTCTTTTTCCGCTCTCCTACCTCTCCATGGTTCGTCCCTTCTGACATCCGTGACAACCTCTAGCTCATTTGGTTGCTCTTAGCTAAATGACCCAGGAATATCATCTAGCTGTTTCTTCCAAGAAGCCAGGGTATCGGCTTCAACAACATGGGTGGATAACATCTTCCAGATTCCCATACCCCTATGGGTAAAGTACAGTAGGACCTTTTGTTCTCTGTTTAAAATGAACTTCCCTGTAGTTTTCACTTGTGTACGTAAAATCCAGTGCCAGAATTCTGTGTGCTGTTTTCATTCTAGCTTCAGCCTGGAATTGACATGCCATTTCACATTGCCTTTGCATAAGGGGTGTAAATTTCCAATTGGCCCTTACCAATCGTGGCCTCCTAATAATCCCCCTCTATGAATTGGCTACATTACTCTGCTCTCCTCCCCACTGATAGCTGATGTGTGGTGAGCGTTCTGGCGCACTACGGCTGCTGTCGCATCATCCAGGTGGATGCTGCACATTGGTGGTGGTGGAGGGGAGTCCCCATTACCTGTAAAGCGCTTTGAGTGGAGTGTCCATAAAAGCGCTATATAAGTGTAAGCAATTATTAATTATTATTATTATAAGGACTCAACTGATCAAAGCAGGTGACAGCACACTCCTCTCGTTCCTGCTTTGACACCGATAATAACCACACAACAAAAAGAAATGAAAAGAAAACACGTTTTTTTATGTAACTTGCATTCACTACAAATTTGCCTTGTCTGTCTGAGGCTGTGAGAAAACAGGATCCTGGCAGGAGTAAAAACAGGAGTGCACAGGGCCGCATTAACGCCCTTTTGTCCTAATTGATAAGGCCAGAAAATTAAAAGTGGGGAAAATGAAACTGATTTCTGTCTTTTCCGCCTGTGCTGGCGTTTACCTTTGCAGTGAAGAGCTTGGCTCCAAACAGAGACCACTTTCGGGCCACCGTCAGGTAGATCCGCACGCACTCTGCTGCACTGCAGCCCCGCAGGACCATCCACTTTGTGGCCAGTCTGTCAGCCAGCCGCCTGCCAACCAAATCCAAAAGCACATTCCCTCAACTCTGACATTTTCAAAGCAAAACGCACATTTAACATATTGTTCACACCCACCCACTGCGAACCTTTGACCATGTCTGATCTGCACCTATTTCTTTAACAGTTTTCGCTGGTGTTCCCCACGATACGTGATTTATCACCATCCACGGCTGCCTAAAGAGGAGCCGCCCAAAAAACAAGTCCCCTGTGAAGATGACACACTGTTTCCATCGCGGGAACAAGCAACTGTCTGGCAGGCTGCAGTGATGTTAACAAGCACTGTGCAGCTACCGCCAATCTGTCTCAAACTCAGTACAATAACAGACACTCGGGCCAGGTCTGCAATGGCACTGTGTTCCTTCAGATTTCCAGGGCACTTTGGAAACTGATCCCTGTTCTGCATGATCTCACTATTCCCGATTGTCTTGTAGGGCTGATCTCCCCTCTGGCTGAACTTGCTGTTTCACACATGTCTTCCCCTCCAGCTGGCTGCACTGACATCGCTTCCAAACAGAACCTGTCTGCCAAAAGTCAGATATTTAAACATTTTAAACTATCATTTTAAAGGCTTCGTTTCTGTTTTGTCATTCGTCATCTACAAGACACAGCCTCCGGCCCCTGCTTTTTACACCAGTAGCATCACGGTTTTACAATGTGTGTAAAGAGAGTGGACAGTGAAGTGTCCGTCTACAAAACAAATTCCACAGCAAAGCAGTCAATGCAAAAAAAAAGAAAAGAAACAAACTACTGCCAACTCTAAAGAAGAACATGTGATTCTTCTGAGGATGCACCTTGCTCAAATTGCTTTTTCTCTCTTAACTGGAAGTATAAATACTGTGGGGTGCCAAGACACATTTATGCTTCTAATCCTGGTTCCACAGAAACACAGTGTCTACTGATTTTAGTTCAAGCCGAGCTCTACATCTCCAGTACTAGCTGATAACTTATGTTAACCTCTTGCAAATTTAGACTTTCATTGAACCTATTTCCATAACCAGTCAGTGTCAGATACTGTATATCCTACTTCAAGGGCGCTGTTTCTAAGACCTTCAGCACACAAAGCTTTACACAGCCTCTCCTTAACTTACTGAGACTTCTGACTGATCTGACACAGGTGGGAATGACACTGAAGGCAGGCACATAGGTAAGCAGCAATATCACCTTGCAGTTCACAAGTGGCAACCTACTAGAACTAAGGGTGTGTGAGCCTGGCCAGTATTTGGATGGGAGACCTCCTGGGAAAACTAAGGCTGCTGCTGGAAGAGGTGTTAGTGGGGCCAGTAGGGGATGCTCACCCTGTGGTCTGCGTGGGTCCTAATGCCCCAGTATAGTGATGGGGACACTATATTATACACTATGTTTTGAGTGCTTATGATGACTGGGTAGACATCTAGAATTCTCCTGAAAATCAGACAGATCCACTGTGGGTTCTGAGTTTGGGTACCTGAGCTGTTCTGGGGTGCAGTCCTGTCTATAGCGCCGGGGATAGAACCGGTCCAGAGCCTGCAGAAGGAGCTGCTGCATCTTGGCCTGTGAGGAACCCCCAGGGCTAGAAGGTACAGGCCGGTCCAGGTCTCCATGTTCCACCTGGAGAGAGATATGGCCACCCCTTTAATGAACCTGGGAGAATCTTTATAGAGAAGCCCAGTGAAAGAATGGACAAACCCTTTCAAGCAAAAACACTAACACAGTGAAACCCAGAAACCCAGAAATGACAGTAAGCTAACAGTTTAAGAAAAATGTAAAATGTACTGAAAGTATCATAGATAGACAAGTTTCTCAGAGAAACATCTGTAAGCGATATTTACATGTAATTCATGACAAACTACAGTCAGTGTCAAAAAAGTTTTTAAAAGGCTTGTTTCATTCTAAACACACATGCAACTTTGCCAGCACATGCAGTGTACCACCATAAAACCTAAGCTTTAGATCTCTGGTCTGGTTATGCAGCCAGTGATGATGGTGCGCCACTTGGCAGTATGCTTCCCTTTGAACTGAAATTCCAAACTAATGCCCAAGTGTGCAGTTGGGAAACGTTTTGTAGAAGGTGTTATATTTCAGATGAGGATTTAACTGGAGTTCCCGTGCATGCTGTGGAGTTCTTTTGAAGGTGTAAGCCCTATTGTCAAACCCTGTTTGGCCTAATCCAAAAAAAAGGCTGGTCATTAGATCCGTAACAGGGTTCTATGCACACAGCATGTTACAAAAGTGACATTTTGATGTAAGGCATTATGGTAGCACAATAACTGTTGCAGTACTAGTGTACCATTGATTTCTCATATTTATAAACCAATCCAAACCAAACCAATCCATTTGAGCTTTCTAATGAAACTGAAAATCATCATCTAATGTCAAAATATTAAATTATAATCTTTGATGAATTGAACATACCAAGAATGCAATCAAGTACAAGCAGTAAACATTTTTTACAGAGGATTAATTGCTGTTCTGTTCAAAACAGAAAACAAATCAAAGATCACAATGAGTACTACAGTATCTTAACAAATTTAACAAATTTAGATGTTCCTTCCTAGAAAAAAAAACTAGACTGAGGTTAATTTTTCACAAAACGTCTCAATATCCTTGAAAGAAACATCACATTATACTGTAGCAAGTCATAACAGAGGATCTCACAAGAAGAGTGGACAAAAATTTAGAATGCCTACAGTAAGTTAATATATTTTAATATGTACAAAGCTTACTCGTGTATCACAAGTTGTGTTGCATATGAATTGCACACTACTGTATATCAGGTTATTTTTAAACTACACATCCATATTCCTTGATCTTGAAGGCCCAGTGTGGCTGCAGGTTTTTATTTCTTCTTAGTTCTTAATGAACTGAAACAGTTACTGGCTTAATTGGAGCTTCGCCCTTTTCTTTAGTTGCTGTTTCAAAGGGCCCCAAAAAGCCTGCAGACATACTGTAGCAGTTCTCCAGGACCAGGACTAGGCAGTCCTGTCATACACAAACAATCCCACACCTGGGACATGAGGGCAGCCATTTCCAGAGCCAGCTCCTTGTTGACAGGGAACCTGCCGTGCACCACTTCGTCATTGACCTGATACGCCAGCAGGAGGCGCTCTCGCTCCATCTCCCCTTTGGCCTGGGCACGGAAACACATCCTGTGCAGAGCAAATGAATCACACTCAATAGTGTGCTGTCTTGTCCCAGTAAGCAATACAGTGAGAGTTTTCTTCAAGTTCATCCTGATTTTCCCTCTTATGTAAAATATAACAATCTAAAATGGAAATATGAGTATTGAAATAATAATAATGCAGTATTGTACAAAGCGGTGTGTCATTTCACAACATAATGTACAGCTAAATAAACAATAACAGCTAAGACAACATATAACTCTTAATAAGCTTTTTATCTTTTTGACATTTTGATATATCCTACCTATGCATTATGATAATGTACATGAACAGCAAAATGCCGTTTCTTTTCTTATTGGAAATCCATTTTTGCAATGTAGTTTTTAACCAAATTGGAATGATGTCTTTCAGCATTCCAAAATAGCAGTTTCAAACTGGCATTGACCATATTTATAATATATTACAAATATATTAATTTATTTAAATAATGTTAACAACGAGTTCTTCAAAATTCATTTTTTTTCACTAAAATTCTGCTTAGTAGAAACAGGCAATGCATTAAGGCAAACAAGGGGGTCTGTGAATGAGAACCACCAAATAAGTGTACCTGCTCTTATAGGTCAGCCGAACAATCCTGGTTCCTTCATATTTTCCTGGGTGAAGTTCCTTCAATGCCTGCTCCCACTTTGAAATCACATCACAGATCTACAGCATGGATCAAAAGAAAATCTAACCACTTTGGCATAACAAACAATGTACAGACACCAACGAACCGAGCCAGCAGGTTTGCAGAAGGAAGGACAAAACCCAGTAAACACCCATGTGAACACGCACAAGAGCTGCGAGGCAGCAGTACTAACTGCCACACTGTCTGTTTAGAGTATTTGGTCAAACATGATTCATTATAAGGATATAATAATAACAATAACAATAATAATAATAATAATAATAATAATAATAATAATAATAATAATAATAATAATAATTGCTTACACTTATATAGCGCTTTTCTGGACACTCCACTCAAAGCACTTTACAGGTAATGGGGACTCCCCTCCACCACCACCAATGTGCAGCATCCACCTGGATGATGCGACGGCAGCCATAGTGCGCCAGAACGCTCACCACACATCAGCTATCAGTGGGGAGGAGAGCAGAGTGATGAAGCCAATTCATATTATTAGAAGGCCATGATTGGTAAGGGCCAATGGGAAATTTGGCCAGGGCACCAGGGTTACACCCTTACTCTTTTCGAAAAACGCTATTTCGAGATATAATATACAAAATAAATTTGACCATTGACCATTGTGTTTTATAACTCAGGTTGAACATCTGCCATTGATCAATGCCTTTTAGTTGTAAACCCGGGGTTTCACACTGGGTTTGTGCAGATTAAAGCCACAGCAAACCCGTGTTGTTGAAGGAGAGGCGCCGTGTCCATACCTTGACGTTCCCTTGCAGGCAGTGCTCCAGGTCCTTCCCGGAGGGGTCGTCCGTGAACAGCGCGAATCCCGAGAGTGCCGGCTTCCTCATCCCTGCCTCCTGGTTCAGAGTGTTCAGGAACTCATCTACTGTGGTGGAGCCGTCAAAGCCCACAACCTGAAGAGACATGGTGGGGTTGCAGGGGGATCATTGTACAAACTCCGCCCATCAATTTTCTAACTTCTTCATCCAACTCCGATTAGAGGGGAAGCTGTAGCGCCTATCCCGGGAAGCCATGATTGTAAGGCAGGATACACCCTGGATGGGACACAATCCATCGCAGGACACAAAGAAATGCAAACACACACACTCAAACTACGGCCAATTTTCCCAGAAGGCAATTAACTTATTGACATTTCTTTGGACTGTGGGAGAAAACAGGAGCACCCACTGGAAACACACGTACTCATGGGGAGAACAAACAAACTCCACACACATAGTACCTCAGACCCAGAACTGAACTCAAGGCCCTGGTGCTAAGAGGCTGTGCCACCATACCATATGTCTTTTTGCTCAACAGAGGACAGCAAAAGACATTTTGATCTTGAGATCAAAGCTGTCTGTTTTAATTTATGGAAATTTAATACAATGATTTCTGACAAGAAAAGGCCCTCCAGCCTAACAAATTTCCATTACTGTGTGCATTCCAGTCCTGGCAGTTGTGTTGAGTTTTGTGGGTAACTTTTAAAATCCCTCATAAAATTTGAAAGGTTTCTATGAAGTCTTTTTCAGCCTAGTCTAAAAAAAAAAGATTTTATTCTACAGTCTTATCTGATAAATCAAAATCCTCAAAGGCACTGACCAAGTCAACCCACTGGGTTTCTTCTGAAAGAACCGTGAAACATGAGACAGGAGGCACAAGAAGAAACTACATGGAGGTGCATTTAAAACTGAAAGCAGAAGACACATCTGTACACAAAGGGTTGTGGGAGTATAGAGCAAACCGATGCTAGCTCTTGCTCTACTGCATTCTGCCAATTGTACTGTACCTGGTAGGTGGAGTTCATGAAATGGACAGGGATGCTGAAAGGCAGCGAGTGGTGATAAGGGTTCCTCAGGAGGATGGACATGATCTCCAAGCGGGACGGCTTGGCTTCACGGTCTCCGTTCTGAAGCGTACGTTCCACAGACCTCTGACAGTAGATGGCATACTTGCCAACTTCATTCCTAACATGGCAGAAGAGAAAAGAGAGACTGCTTGTCACCAAGAGCTGCCAGTCAAAAATAACCCAGTTCATACAACTGTTTTCAACTCAGCTTGGCCACTAGTTATTCTTTGTTATTGGGCTGACACTTAAGTGTGGATATGCAGTTGTACTCAGAAGGTCAGAAGGCTTTGGAAAACAGTTTGCTGTGGCTTTCGGTCCTGACATTTTGTTTAAAATTAAAATTCATTCTACAAACACACAACTCTTCGATTTCCATTTTAATTTTGATTCCTCTTTCTGCAACAAACCATCCTCAGGCAATACCTTTTTTTTCTCCTTTTACTGCCTCAATGAAATCCCCAATGTTAAAAGCACAAAAGGAAAACATTCACTCAATATATATTTCAAATGCTTTAATAAAAATGTGTAAGAGGAATATAGAACAAAAAAACTTAAAGTACTTGTCCTACACAAACAGGCTGAAGGAACTGAACCTTTTTAATCTTGAACAAAAAAGACTATGAAGTGACATGATGCAAATATTCAAAATCCTCAAAGTCACTGACATAGTCAACCCAGTGGATGTCTTCAGAATCAATAGTGAAACATTAACCAGAGGACATAAGTGGAAGTGCATTTAAAACTGAGACATGAGGTAAGTCTTTACCCAAAGGGTTGTGGGAGTCTGGAACAAGATACACAGCCATGTTGTTGAAGCCTATACCCTAGCTTACTTCAAGAAAAGGCTACATGAGATCTCTGAATCAGTTACTGACTTCTAAAGGGGTTAGATGAGCCAAACTGCCTTTTGTTTTGTTATCCTTAGTTCTAAAGGAAATTGGGTTCTCAAAATCCAGGTCTGACAACCCGAAAAAAATATTTTCTTTTGCACAATAATTTGAATCCTGAGAACCTTAAGTCAAACTGAATTAAAGAGTCCTACTGCCCCTGACAAAGTAGCTGTATTTGTGAATTTCCAGTGCTGTGTATCCTGAGCTCCCTAGAATTGTTCTCATAGCAAAAAAACAGCCGGGAGAGAGTCTGCCACCTCCTTGTCAGCATACCTTGGGTCGGCGTGGCGTTGCAGATACACTCTCAAATACCAGAGGAAGTGATGCTGAGGCAGAAAGAGAGCAACACACACAGACAGCAGCTGCCAAACCTGGAAAAATAACACACAGTGTGGGCATGACAAAAAAGAGAAGGCTTTGGTATCAAATCATAACACAGTAAAATGCAACAGTGGTGTAGGAATGCCCTGCTTCTACGAGGACATACTAATGAGGCAGGTGTGTGTGGCCTCCATGGAGATATTGACTGGTGGGCCAGCACAAGAATATAGAGATGCCCCTGTGTCCTCAATATCTGGTCAATCAGTCAAGCATACACCACATGCCTGGTGGCTGCTTGACTGTCAGACTGACAGTCAGTCACTCTGCTTTAATACCAGCCCAGTTCACAGTTAGATAGGTATTTTACTGTCCACCGCTGTGGAAATTTGTCTTTGGCTGCTCTCACAGAAGGACAAAAAACACAATCAAAACATAAGAGTCCCATAAAATCTCTTTTAAAATCTCTTTTATTGTGATAAAATCACAATAACAGCATGTGACACATAAATAGATGGATAAAAAAATAGGTAGAGGGAAGAATACATTTTCATACTTTCATTGAGTAGTTTTATTGCAGAGGGGACAGAGGACTTCATATAAATGTTTTTATTTGAATTTGGTATCCTATATCGTCTTCCTGATGCGAGTATTATGAATTGAGAATGGAGTGGATGTGTGGAGTCAGCTGTAATGTTCTTTGCTGTACTATGATATAAGTCACAGAGCAGAGGCTGCTGTTTCCCAATTATTTATCCTGCCATTTTCACAATCCTGAACAGTTTGGTTTTGCTTTTCAACCCCAGGTTTGCATGCCAAACTGTCTTGTTAAATGCCAGGATGCTCTCAACAAGGCAATTACACAATTGAACTTAATAATAGGATTAAATCAAACTGTTTTTTCAATGGTTTTCAGCGCTTAAACACATTGGAGGTCAACTTTAAAGCTATTGCTTAACAGCTAAAATATCATCACAAACCTCTGGGTAGAAACATACTGTACTTACAATACAAACATTCTAATAAAATAGCTTGTTAGTTCAGTTAAGGTTTTAATTAAGTTAAAATTAAGTTTAATTAAGTAATTAAGCTCAGCTGGATTGAAAGCCAGCAGGTGTCTGGGCCTCTAGCACCAGGATTTGGACTCTTGTTCTAGAAACTCTACTTTTCTTTCGTAAAGATTCTATTGTAAATAATAAAAAAAAAATTCTAGAAGTATGAACACAAACTGACCCTCCAGCAACCTGCTCAGGACCAACCCTGTTCATAGCATCTACTTTAAGGTTCCAAAAACACATGCAAACCTATATTAAAACAGATCGCCACTAACCACATTACCCATTGGTCATTAAGAAGCATGTTTGCGTTCACTCTTGTAGCGTTTTGAAATGCAAAACAGAAAACAGCAGCATATTTTTAGCGGCGTATTATCTTTTTTCATCCAAATCAACTTTACCCCCCCCACTTTGAAATCATCAATTGCTAATCAACTTTGCTTTACTGCTACTGTACATACGCAGCAGTGCGGTAGGTCAGCTTGGTCCTGCTGCTTTGGGAAATCCCGATTTAAGTTGGCTTGTGACAGAGCTCAGACCACAACCGCCAACTTCTAGACTATTGGGCTCAATCTGCAGGTAGCAAGAGGTTTAAATGGAAGAGCTGCTCAAGGGAATTCTCAAAACCCGGCAGCCATAGAAAGATTTGTTAAGTTACGTAAAGTAGGGATCACAACTCGAGCCCTGGAGGACTAGAGGGTTTGTGGTTTTCCTTTCACTTAAGCCCATAATTGCCTAATTGAGCTCATTATTTGTTTAAGTGGAGAAACTGCAGCCTTTCCTTGTTCTTGAGAAACTGGAGATATAAATAGAATTAGACAACCTGCTGGACAGAGCCCTTGCATTGGACTCTGATGTACAGTATATTATAATAACTTTAAATTTAAAACACAAAATGTGATTTCTATTGAATTATACTACAATATTATTTCATTTATCAGAGTGGGAAAATGCCTTTGTCTTTGACTGCATACAGTATGCCTCTTGGCTCAATTTACATTTAAGGAAATTCCTTCTTCTAAAGCAGCCATTTACAGCAAGTTTCCGGAAAGACAGGGAAGATGCTGGTTTCGAGAGGAGCTTCTACTCTTCCAGTTAATCCTGCACCCACCTGGATGAGAGAGTAGTTCTGGGGCTGCCGGTGGCTGGTCTGTTTGATGAGCTGACAGTAGATCTCGTTCTGTAACTCTGGGTGTGTCAGGCATACTTGCAAAGCATTCTGGGCCAGGGACATGTGATAGTCAATGGAGGGTGACTCCACTAGCACGTTGATGAAGAGCTGACAAGACTGTAAGAGAAAAGGTAATTTTTGCCATTGGCAAATGAGTATTCCACAATGGAGGAACCTATGCAACTTTCATTCTTCCCTGCATCCGTATCTGAATGGGGAGAGAGACTAGTATTTGTTTGAAACTGGATTCCGGAGGTCCTTGAGAAAAAACTGGATATGACATTTGGAATGATCAATACGGCATGGTATTAAAACCAAAATGGCAAAGAAAAAGAAAACAACCTTTACCCTTCTTGTACATTCTCTTGAAATTTGAATCTCTCACTCTTAGAGTGCTTTAACAGTTTGTGACAGCAGGGGTCAGCCCATCATCACTGACACTTCATATTTCAAACATTACCCTGTCTTTCTTAGCATAAAGCAGATTTTAATAGCACAAAGACATATGAAGACTAAGCAATGTATTCATGCTTTGGCATAAAGTTTAATTCAATTCTGGATTACAAACATCAGTAAAAAAAGTATCCTTTAATAATTTCCCTTGCCCTTTAAAAGATTTTCCGAAATCCCTTAAATTAAAAACAATACCTCATGTTCAGTTTTAAAAAGTAAATATTTGGCTAAATGAAAAGATTGTGAGGCAAATTAATCTGTGAGGCTTTGCAATACTCTTATATTTTCCACTGAAAAACAATAAACTCACTTTCTTCCTCAGCATTCATGCGCTGGTAAGAAAATCTGGTTCATTTGTTTTAGCACATTGGTCCAATATTGCATAACTAAACACTCTTGCAAACACACAACTCTAACCACTGTAGGTTTAACACTACTACACTATAGGAAATCCACTGAATTGCAAACATAATCACAACGAACAGCAATTATGCAGTGGCTGAGAACATGAAGAAAAGTACATCTCATTGGAGTAACAGACACTGCTGTAATCTCCTGCTGCCTGGCTGACTGTCAACACTGTCTGTGAATGATATCTGTGGGGTGGTTTCTGGGACAAGTTCAAGGTTCTGAGATACCCATTCAAGTTTTTGGTCTGTCAGATGTCTCAGGAAGGAGAAAAAAAGCCACCTTTTACCCATCTTTTCCCATCCATTAGCTAGGACTTAAGGCCCGGACTCACAGCCACAAAAGTGCCCTGCCCTGAACGAATAATACGAATAAATTCATGTGGCATAAGAAAGAGAACAGAACCATTTTCAGAAGAAAAGATAGTGGAAACATTTTTAAAGCAGGTAAATTGGACTGCCAAAATCAGGCATGTTTTTTTCATATTTTTTATACAACATGAACATATGACTTAAACAGTGCATTTATAGAGCAGACAAGAAAACTGCTTTCTTGAAATACAGTTACCTTCAATAAAGGGCAATTGTAAACCACATCTGAACAGCATGTTTATAGTGAGCTCACCACACCCCAGCTATCAGTGGGGAAGAGAGCAGAGTGATGAAGCCAGTTCACAAATGGAGATTATTAGGAGGCCATGATTAGTAAAGGTCAGGGTTAAATTTGGCAAGGACTGCCAGGTAACACCCCTACTCTTTTCAAGAAACGTCCAGGGATTTTTATTGACCTAAGAGACTTAGGACTCTCATCTGAAGGATGGCGCCTTTTTATAGTACAATGTCCCCGCCACTATACTGGGGCATTAGGATCCACACAGACTGCAGAGTAAGCACCTCCTACTGGTCCCTCTAATACCTTTTCCAGCAGCAACCTTTGCCTTCCCAGGAGGTATCCCATCGATGTACTGACTAGGCTCACACCTGTTTACCTTCAGTGGGCTGCCAGTTTTGAGATGCAGAGTGATATGGCTTCTGGCAACTAGTGATACCACTACTTAGGACTCTTTTTATGGCTGTTCTATAATGCAGTAAAGGAACCTGACTAACATGCTGGGATTCGTTCAGCACATTCTGAACACCAGTTATGTTTCGAACGTGACATCCTTCCAGAACCTGCTGTCATTTTTGCCTTCCTAATTCATTTTATATTAGTAATAAAAATAAATGTGAAATAAATAAAAAAAGGTTTAGTGCCCAATGTCCTCCTCACAGACTAAAGAAATAAATTCTTCTCTGTGGGAAGAAAGGGCATGCATGTGAATCAGTAATGACAACGTACATGACCTTCCCTCAAGCTCTGAGGAGGGATATTGGGGTAAGCTTGTAAACATGTACAGATAAGTGCCTGCCCTACTGTTTCTACATGCCCTGAAGGAGTTTTCCCAAGTCTCAGTCAAAACAGAGAGCAGGACTGTTGTGAGAAAGTGACCTCACCTTGAACAGCTTCAGGGCCTCTGTCTGCAGCGCCTCTGAGGGCAGTGTGGTGAGTGGGGACAGCAGACCCTCCTTACTGTAGCACAACACAGGGTGCTTCCACATCGGGGAGTCTGGGGGGCACACAGCACATTATTACACTCTTCACAGGGCCTCAGCTGGATTAGAAATCATTGAACCTCTTACCACAGCTTATCCACCACACAACACATTTCCCCTGCTCTGGCACATATAGAGTTACAGTGATCTAATGTCACACCAGACTAAATGTGATGTACAGACACGCAACCATGTTTGTTTATTTGGTGAAGTTAAAACATTTTAAAATTGCAAACTTCAGCATCAAATTAAGGAAAACAGACAGATGGGGCTATCATATTATTGGGTATAATTTATATACAGTACTGCAAATCATCTGTATCAGGTCTACTGCTTCTTAAGTTTTATCACACAAATCAGACCATTTCTGGACTTTTCAGAACCAATTTTCACTCCTGGTCTTGTAAGGCTGCTGTGTCACCTGGTTTTCACTGGACGTTTAATGACTTTTTTGAATCACCTGCTCACTTACAATGTTCATAATAACCTTACAGTGTCGCAATGTTTTTTTACTCATCAACGGTCACAGGTTTATTTTTATATTTCAAGTCACCATACTGGAGCTTTGGGTTAGAAATTCTGGTCCAGAAGGAAAGAGCTACCAACAGGTCCATCAATAACCTTCACCAGGCCCAGCCTTGCTTAGCATCTGAGAGCTCACCCAGTCAGGTTACAGGATGGTGGAGCTACACCCGATGGTTCAGGCACACAAGACGATCACAGACAGTCAATCACATCAGACTCAAAAAGTGGCACCATCTGGGCCGTGGGCTTGTGTTCCAGACAAGCCTCTTTAATGATTGAGTCACACAAAAAAAGTATTAGGCCTTGTGTCAGAGGACGAAGACTGAAGTACAAAAGGCGGTTTGCTTACCAGGGTCCCCATCTCGGTCGAGCAGTTTCCCAATGAGCTGCTCACATTCGGTGCCAACCTTCAAGTTGCCACTGCTTCCTGCCGCCACAGTCAGGTGGTAGAGCCAGGCGTCCTGGATGAGAGGAGAGAAACATCTTGAACACCCATCTGTTCACCGTGTGTACATATTGTATGACCTAAAGAGGAGCCATTTTGTCCACTTCTGGGTGATATATTGGAACATAAGAACAGTTATAAATGAGTGGAACCCATCCAACCCCTTTGGTACTGTAGTTAGTAATTACTTTAATTAATACCAAGATCTTGAAAGCAGGATCTTGAAAGAAGCCAGGGCATCAGCTTCAACAATATGACTGGGCAGCTTGAAAAGAAGTATGTTTGTAGTGTTCTAATCTTCATTAGGCATCCATTCAGAAAATGTTTCAAATCACTCACTACAATTCGCTTTGATAGGTCAAGGTCAATTTCCAGTAAATAACAAAATTTCATGAAATATAAGGGATGTTACTGTAAAAAAAAAGTTTGTACAGGTTGTATTAATTAGTATTGTTATATTTTTTTGTTAAGGCACCAATACAATCTACCCATTTTTCTTCTTCAGAATGGACAGTGAAACATAAATCAGGGGATGCAATTGAAGACTGCAGAGATGAGCATTTACAACCAACAGCATACGGAGCACTTTAGTTCAGTTCAATTAAGTAAAGATCTTTCAGAGCAAAAATCAGAATATCCTTCAGCCCTAAAGATTCCAGCTTAACTTAGTTGATCCATAACTCCTATCTCCACAGGGGCTCCCCCAGCCCATGGCAGGAGACCCCTGCTCCAACAGAAAGGAACAGCTGCTGGGGCACCCACCTTCTCCTGCTTGGTGCCGATCAGCAGGTAGGTGGGGCTTTGCTCCTTGGGGTAAATGACCAGGGTGTAGTGAGAGGACAGGAACCCCCGCCCCCCGGCCTCATAGTCCTCGTCAGAGTCACAGGATCGATCCACTTCCTCCACCCGCGCCTCCCTCACACGCAGCTTTCCCAGGGGGAACTGATCCAGGACACACGGGGACGTTAGAGCACAGGGCACAAATCAAAGACTAGACTGCAGGTCGCTTTTGGAGTGAGGTGCAGTAAACACAAAGTCTGCAAGCTCAAAAGGAAAGTAAATGCAGACTAACTTATAAGAGTTTATTCAGGACAAAAAACAATAGGCAGTACGTGCCTCTTTACACACAGTGATGCCTAGGTACTGTATGTTTCGCAAGCTGATTCTTGCTCTTTTTTTGCAAGACTGTACTGGGCTTTGAGTTTCATGATAAATGATCTGGAACATAATTTTATTGGAGTCTTTCAGATGCTATGAAGACATATGTTTAGATGTTATCCATTTTGGAGTGTTTAATAAAATGAGCACTAACTAATTAGCGATTTTGGTCCAATCACATTCTTTGTGAAGGCATTTTCACAACATTGATGGGATTTGCATGATGAACTGCCTCCCCTGCAGAATTAACATCACAGTTTGGCTGTTTTTCGGGTAACAAATATTTGTTTTTTGAAAATCAAACTCAAATCAGTATGGATTGAATCACATAACTAAATGACAAATCTTGAAATATCAAACAGGCAAATAAGTGGATTCGTCATGGCGTGATACAAATGGTTGCAATGAACCTAAACGAAGCAAAGCAATTACAATTCCAATAATCATGCTAAAAAAATGAAACTAGCTCATAACAAATTCTACAGGAGACACTTTGGATCCAGGGAACAAACAGAAAAGGTAATGGAACAAGTAATCACAGAAAAACATGATCACAGATTATGCCTTCATTCAAAAATGTCTTTGGACAAACTTTAGAAGTGCATGTCAAACTAATTTATCCAATCCAATAACTGTAGCCACTAAAGAGATCTCCCACCTTATCATCCTGATTGCGGTAGTAGTAAAACACTTTCCCAATCAGAGAACACCATACTAGTTTAGAGTGGCCATGTTTCACCTGTTGAAGAACAATAAACAATAACACAGATTTTTTAGAACAGCTCAGAGTTTTGTCACATCATCAACTCTACATTCAAGCAAAGAAAAGCAGAGCTCATTATATGGTCAGATGAAACTAGTGAGACTCTTGATTTCGTAAATGTACAAAAAAGACTTTTTGAAATCTCTCACCTTGGTGAGCCAGCCTCTGACAGTGGGCTTGGCAGTAGTCTCCATGACGACAGGACTAGCGGCCTGCACCTTGAGGATGTTCTGTAGAACCCGAATCCACTCCTCCAAAATATTGGGAGAATCTGCTGTCAGGTAGTATGTCTTCTTCTCAGTGATAAGCTTAGGAGAAAACAAAGGAGTGTAACAAAAAGCATAATAGTTCCCATTTTTCCCATTTCTGTTTTTTTGTTGATCTTTTCAACCTTATTGTAAAATGTTCATACAATATGCCCACTTTAAAGTTGATAAACATTGGCATGCTGACAGCTCCAATGTGCCTTACTGGAGAGTTAGCAATGACTGGAGGAGTGATGTATCTCTCTCAGAGAGCACAGTAAAATCTAGGCAATAAAGCAAAGAAGAAAGCAAATGGCTCATCCTGTGACAATTCTCTAGCTTTAAATTCATTCATTACAGTCATTAAGATTCCATTTTTCTTGGGCACGGTACGGTCAGAACAGATCTCACCTGGAATGTCTGTGCCCCCTCCCCTCGAGCAATCCTGCACGAAGAATTCAGTTCAATCTGCCCCTGAGGTTTCCGGATGACATCGCTCTGAAAACATGAACACAAACAGAGGAAAATTAACATGCCCTCCTGAGCAGCCATCTTAATCTTCATCCTTATCTGGACACTCATTGTTAAAGTATAGCCCTCACCTCGGCAACGAGTGGCAACCAGATCTAGCACATTCCCCCCATACATACTTCACATCAGGTGGAGAAGTGAAAAAATTGCTTCACCCGTTGAATTCTTGGGAAATTTAGACCAGATTTCTCTAGTCCGGAGTGGAATTTAACAGGACTCCAGGATTAACGCTTCTAGTCTTAGGGGTCAGTGCCTTGGGATTGTAGTGATTTGGTTAGGGCCTTCATTTAACTTCCCAACCAAATGATATTTGATGCACTTTTGTAATGCTCTCTGTAGCTTTTAAGAAGTTACTGGATAAAACCGGGGAAAAAAGACAGAAAGAATTAAGTTCTAAAATCAAAACAAACAAATTTCCAGCTTTCCCAGAGTAAAATTATACTGCTGTGTTTTGAAAGCATAAGATGTAAATGTAGTTCTATGAAAAAACAACTTTGTTTTTTACATTTAGGCAGTTGTAGGAAATCATCCATCCATCAATTTTCTAACCACTTTATCCAATTTGGTGTTGTGGTGGAGCCAGAGACCACCCCAGCAAGCAACAGGTGCAAGGCAGGGTACGTGAACAAAACACCACTCACTGGGCAGACACAAACACAGACAAGTACACACTCACACCAGGGCCAATTTTCCCAGAAGCCAATTAACCCACCAGTATGTCTTTGGACTGTAGGATGACACAAGGAGAACATGCAAACTCCATGCAGATTGCACCATCCAGGACCCCAGCACTGTGAGATAGCAATGCTAACCACTGCACCACAGTGCTGCCCATAGTTTTAGAAAATCATCTGGAATTTTTTTTCAGTCAAAAATCCAAAGCAAATAATAACCCAGAGCAAAAACTTTTGTAAGTTTCTTTTCATAACTTTAACCTGGGAATAAACTGTTTGCAATGTATTGTTCATGCATTACAATCATTTCCAGTCTACAAAAATGTAATGTTAAACACAAATTGCTGGTTTACTCACAGGGGACTTGTAATATAAGATTTCACCATTCCTCAAAACAAACCAGCGTCGTTTCCATGCTTTCACCTGGCTCCCCATTTTCAGTAAGTACCCAGACTTCTCCAAAGGCTCCTGCTGGACATGGAAAGAGATGCAGGTCAGAAATCCTCACAACAGTATTCTTATAATCCTGTTTTATAGCAATATGAGTCATGTTAAAATTGTGTAACACACTAGTTAGGCTTCATTTAGAATACTGCGTAAAGTTTGGTCCCCATGATAAATAAAAAGATAACTGTTCTGGACATAACCAGCTACATTCTGGGGCTTAAGGGAATATCCTACACTGACAGGCTGGAGGAAATGAGTCTTTTCAGTCTACAAGGGCACCTGATAGAACTTTTCAAAATCTTAAACGTTATCGGTAATGCAAAACACAAACCGGTGGGCACAATTGGAAATGACATAAGAGCATATAAAAGTGTGAACCAGAGGAATTTATTTGCCCAAAGAGTGTAGAAGAAGCTGCCTGACTGAAGCGATAACCTAGTTTCTTTCACGAAACAGCTGGATGAGATCCTTGGACCAACTAGTTACTAACTACCAAACAGGCCAGATGGACCGAATGGATTATTTTCTCTCCTAAACAGAGGGAAACAGCACTCAGCTCAGCACACTCACAGCACAGGCACTCTCGCAGGAGTAGGTGGACGTCCGCAGTAGCTTGTGCTCTGGCTCGGAGTAGTCGCTGTCGATGGAATAGGCATCTGGCGGGATGGCGTAGTCACTCTCCGAGCTCACCGACGACATTGACACACCTAAACGAAGTACAGTATTCAGAGAGTCCATCTGGCTCCTTTCCTCTGTTTTGTCACACTTTCACAACGAGTCACAAGACTTAATTTTTTAGTTTTAAAACTGCTTGCTGAACGTTTTTTGATCATGTAAGGAATCTTAAAAGATATGAAAAATGGAAAAAGTGCAACAGTGTCTAAAACCGGCCAAATCATTATTTTATCAATACTGTTGTAGCAGCAACATGCATCATAATTGATGAGACGAAGAGTGTTCGATCAACCTAAAGGTTCAATAAACCTAAAAGAACTGCTAGTAAACAAGATCAGCTCATTCATAATTTATTACATTTAATAAATATACACATAACTGCTTCAGAAACAGCATATCTTCAATCACTATATATACGGAACTATTTTCTACTTGTAAAGCGGATCTTAAATTAAATGCCACTGCCTAGTGATGCCTTTTTCCTGAAGTCCTCTCTTCTCAGAATATTAAGTTTTTGCAGCTTTCTTCCGACACGTGTCTGAAATGAAAACAGAGTTGTGTCGGGACAGTGGCCTTGGGAGACACGCACCCCTCTTAACAGCGCGTGGGCTGCCCGGAGCGCTGTTTTTCTTGGCCTCGGGGCCCAGGGCCGACGTGCGGAGGCTGGCGAGTGAGCTGGTGTCGTCCTCTGATCCGGAGGATTCATCCAGGAAGGGGATGCTGCTGATCTGAGTGGCTGTCTGGAAAAGAACGTACAGTAGCTAGAGTCAGGCACACAGGCACTCCCACCTGCAGGAACACTTTTTTAAAAAGCCAGGCTGCAGGAGAAACCAAACAGATGCAAGCGTTTCTGCTTCACTGACGTAGATCCAGAAGCAGGTGAATCCACAGAAACTATTTATCTTAGAGCTGTTTCACCAAAACTAAGGCTCTGCTTCCAAACTATTGCTCTTTAAATGCAGATACAACCTTGCTATTGCCTGGTAAAGAACCAGACAGCACAAGCAGAAATGATGCGGAAGTGCATTTAAACTGAGAAAAGGAGACATTTCCTTACCCCAAGGGCTGCGAAAATGAATATGAACGAAGCTATTAAACCTTGCTGTTGAAGACAATACCCTGCTTCTTTCAAAAAACTCCTGGATGAGATCTTTGGATCAATTAACTACTAACTACCACACAAGGTAGATGGGCCAAATGTCCTCCTCTCATTTGTAACCTTTCATGTGTTCTTATACATGCAGTAATAAAGACCTGTGATATGCCTTGTCAGAAGAACTAAAACAAGTCTACTTTATAGTTTCACTTTGGCTAACTACTTCTGGAGCAGGTCTAAAAAATTAATGTCATTTTCTGATTACCAGTCTTAAAACTGGAGTGCCACATGTCTTCCCTTTATTCCTCCTTTGGCTTGACGCACAGCCTAGAATACACCTTCTATATTGCCTTTTCTGTTCATAAGGTCATCAATCTAATACTTTTGTCCAAAAGCTCTTGAAATCCTGGCAAAATCCAGGATCTGTCTTCTGAGAAGCACTTCCAAGTAGTTTAAGATGCTGTTTATGACGGCAAATAACATTAACACGTGGAAAAATCCCATCGATTCCAAGAAGTGGGATAAATTAACAAGACTTCACAGATCACAGTGGGTTCAAAAAGTCCTGTTGCCCAAATTTTCTATCCTGGGAAGGAAGAAGTTTCTAACCAGTGATGGAAGAATGAGGATGATCTGCCAGGGATGCATTTAATTCCTGTCAAGCAAACCCATGTTACAGAGAATGTTACAAAGATCAGCAGTGATAGGTTTGTGAAAGAAACAGCGGAAGATTAATTATCATTGTTCTGTGTTTCAGCTAGTGGTATTTGCATTTCCTAAACCACAAAGGAACAAGTAATAGGTTTATTCCATGCTGAAAAAAAGAAGAAAGAAAACACAACATTTCGGCCGAGAAGGCTCCACGGCCGAAACGTTGTGTTTTCTTTCTTCTTTTTTTCAGCATGGAATAAACCTATTACTTGTGCCTTTGCAGCTTATGCATGCTGACACAGCTACCCACCTGAACTACTATTTCCTAAACCACTGTTGTTTTCCCACTGCCCCCACATTGCCCCCCGGTCTTACCCCTTTGAGAGTGGTATACACCGGCACACTGATGTTCTTGTAAATGAGGTGTGTGAACGGGCCAGCAGCTGCATACAACGGCAAATGGGAAACTAAAACAATGAAGGGAGAAAAACACTCACATTCTCATCTTAACCAGGCTGTGTCCAGGGATATAGAGGTGCAGTTTACGTCTGTTAAGGCATCTAAAACACTACATACGGTATATAAAAGATACTTGTACATGAAACAATTACACTGTGCCTACTCTCCAGGCGTGCCTCTACTTTTAAACAACACAATAATTATAAAAAGGCCTCCAACTGGCAAAACGGGATTCTGAAAGAATAAAGGTCAACCCCCATCCTGTGTGAGCGGAGCCGTCTTTTGCAGTTAGCCTGAGTTTACAGATTCCATCCCCCTCCTTTTGGAAACCAATTTAAAGCAGCTGAGAGATAATAGCACAGTTCTGCCCCTAATTACAACTCTGGCACATCCTTTCATCAGCCACAGATTAAAAGGCTAAACCACCACCCCCCATACACACACACAAACACACACACTCCACCCCCCATCTTGTCATTTTAAAGCTCTAAGGGTTCGTAAAGCCCTGTGACTGGGAAGGGCCTCTGTGAACAGATCACACCTGCTCAGGTGCCCACCCACCTGGGGAGTGGAAACTTAAACAAAGCCTCCTGTCATCAGAGCTGCTGCAGCTCCTGCCTTCAGGCTGGGAAAACTGCCTGTGCAGAATGAGAGATCGCTGACAAACACCCCAGTCAGAAGGAAATGGCCTAAGGCCTTTCTCCCCTCATATCCTCAACACCATATTTAAGCCTTTGCCTAACACTGTGGGAAGAACTCCCACAGCTTTGTAGATGGTGGCATTTCTAACAGACACCATTTTTATTTTTCACCTTCTGCAAAACCCTGCTGAAATACATCACTTTCTAGAGCTATCCCCGAGTCTAAACAGCTGAAGGACATTTTGGTTATTTAGGTCTTTATTTTGCATTTTATATAACTCTAATAAAAATACATTATATATGAAGCTGAATTATTTTTGGTGAGAAGAAGTGGTTTGGAGAAAATAAGTATGCTGCTTCAAGGGGAGACCGCAGATATTTCTGCATTGGATTTAAAACCATAAAACCAGTATTGAACATCATTAAAATAATATTGAACAGTTGAAAATGACTTACCACCCGTCTTAAACTGCCCAGATTACTACAGTACTTTAACGGTCTTTAAAAGCTTTGGAAAACAGTACTGATAATATTTGGAGCACAACATTCAACCTACTTCCAGTCCTCACAACCCTTGTTACCTGATGTCAAGTAACATTATTATTCTTTAGAAATAAAATCTTGTTTTGCATTAAAACCGTATACATTGTACTTTCAACTGCCTTTTGCTTAAAATGCTCTTTGGTAGCACTTTTACTTTTAGCTTCAAAGTTTGCACACTACAAAGTTATGTACATACAGTATGTCTGGGATAATCAGAATGGTTTACTTTCGTTTGTTAGCTCTTATTGTAACCCAGAAGTGATATAGTTACCTCGGCTAGGGGACCAGTTTCCCAGAGTCACCTCTGACAGCCGCATCCCTGATTTGGCCACAGCATAGATCCGACCTTCCTACAAGAAACACAGGAGTCATGTTTCTCCAGATCCCATCCTCTAACTTCCTCTGCAAATTTCTGGTGTTGGGTGGGTTAAATGATCATTCTACAATTCCTGAAAATGGGAAGTCATATACCAGACTTTCGAACCATTCCAAAGCAAACATTAAGCTTCATCGTGATGCTTACCATGTCACATAATGAAAAACATACACTAGGATCTCAATTCAACTTCTTGATGAAACTTATTTCACTGCAAGATACTGGATATACAGTACCACATCCTCAGTTTTAACAGTCTTGGGGTTGTTATTATTAGTCAGTTGGTTAATTATCAGAAGAATTATGCAGTAGTTTTGTGATTAAGACATACAACAGGTCTGATTCTATTGCTTAGGTAGATATTTTCGAGATTTGAGCCTAATGAGCCAGAACTTGTCCTGGTTTCTAGTAAGAAAAAGAAATATCCTGGTGCTTGTTACTAAAAGCATGCCAGTTTTGTATGGTCTCCAATGTTTCTCACGCCAAAAAACAAGCACGTGGACTAGAGAGATTTCTAAACTGCTACCTCTGTCCTCACTCTTCATCTAAACAGATCTGTGTACATATCTGTACCACATTCAAAAACTGAAACCAGGATAAAGTACGGAGCCAGCATGCACATTCCCAGACATCGCTTCCAACACTCACCCAAGATGGGAACCTGTGCAGAGGAGGAGTAGGAGGCTTCAGGGAGTCAGTATCAAAGAGTTCCAGTTCCTCCGAGAGAGGAATGAAGGAGACCCTCTCCTCAGCCAGTTCACTTTTGTGCTCCTCAATGTCCATCTTGTCAGGAACCTCATCGATGTCAGTTTCCTCTGGGCCCTGAGCAGCTGGAGCCAGAGGCTTAAAGCAGCTGATGTCAATGCTCACATTGATGTGATGTAGCTTATCAGTCCCTGGCTGCGGCTGGCTGTAGTGTTTCTTGGCCAGCTGGATGCTATCTCTGGGCGTCAGGGGAGTTCGCACCTTAGGCAGAGTCATGCTGGTCCCAAATGGGGCTGCGGGGCAGGGGGAGACGAGCTGGAGGGAAGAGGCCAAGGAAGGGGTGGAATGTTTAGGGGAGTGGACTGGGGTGTTGACGGGGCTCGGGATGTTGGTTTCACCAGACGAGGAGGAGGAGTGCAGGCGCTGGGAACGGAACTTGCTGTTCAGCTCATCGGAAGAATGGTCCCTCTCCGAGCCCCGCGACGGCCCTCTCTTCTCCACTGGGCTGTGGGCTTCCTTTCCGACCTCCAAGGGATGGTGTTTCTCAGTCAATGACCCTTCCGGCAGCTCTGGCCCACAGATTCCAGCAGCTGGGTCACTAGGAGTGTGCGGGCTGCATGCGCATGGAGGCTGTGGGCAAGGGCTGGCTGGAGGATTCGTTGTGACCTGGCAGTCAGTCTTGACCAAGGCAAAGGGACTGTGGACCCTCTCTCCTACTTCCTGGGTAGTCTGCTTCCGCACAGAGCAGGGAGAGCGAGGCAGGAGATCAGCTTTCTCATGGGAGCCCAGCAGGGGAGGAGAAGGAGAGGAGCAGTTCTGAAGGGATTCAAGCCCATCAAGCCCCTTCTTTTTTAAATCTGTATAACAAACAAACAAAAAAAGCATCTTCTTTAACGCTGGACTACATGCCCATACTATTGATGCGATTTATTTTGAGCACAAAGATTGAGACAGTGAAACAAGCTTTATTTTAATGAAACTCCTGCTCCAAATTCTGCAGAAGTAGAGCCTTTGTGCCGTCTTGAAAATGGGCAAATCTCAACCAGATGGTTGGATTAAAATTCAAAGGCCCATTCTAAATGATTTTGCCAAATGGACAGATCAGTTCTGTTTATGCTTTGAAAAAAAGAACGAATCGTTTATTCTTGGAAAAATGCAACACCCCAAATCACAGGGGATATCAGATCAATCAAAATGCCATTAACAGATGATTGTAAAAAATGCTAAGAACATTATGCAGTGTGAGGCTCACCCTCTCCACTGTGGATTTAAACTACTCCCATCTGGGAGACGTCTCTGTGTCCCAAGGTGTAATGGTTATAGACTCAGGAAATCTCAGACAACGTAAAACAACTCTTAACTCCTGAAACACCGCTATATTGTCTTCTTTCTGGGTGATGTCTGTCTGTTTTTATTTTATTGTTGTGCTGGATTCTGTAGTAAAACAAATTTTACCCTGGATGATAATGAAAATTGTGAAATTACTGAATTTCTTTGTCAAACCTTAAACATCAGGCTTTCCAATATTTCCCATTAGATCAAGCAATTAATGAAAATCCCTACTCTGGGTGTAAATGTTTTGACAAGAGCAGATTATATTTCAAATTGTAAAGCTCCCATGATGCAATTAAGGATTTCTGGGAAGAAAGTGTTCTCAAACTATTTCAGAGACATGAAGGCACCCCACTTGTTCCATAGCAAGGTGGCTATAATGTCTCAGTCTTTTCAAATGGAACTCTGTACCTTGTGTATTGAGCGTTGGAGAAGGCAGGAAATGAGAGGGTGAATGTTTTCGACCTTCCTCGAATGCCAGGGGACTAGAAGGGCTGGTGGATGCAAAGAGGGGGCTGGAGTGGCTGAGGAGCCCAGATTGAGTCTCTGGAGTTGGGGAGCGAGGACCAACAGGGGACCCTGGACCTTCTAGAAGTGCTGTGCAGAAACAAGCAGGGGTATTTTCTAATCCATATTCATAAAACTACGCATTACCACAAGCTATTACAATTTTGTTTTTAATGCAATGAAAATGCCGCAGAGATTTAATATATTAGGAGCCCCATATAAACAGTTCTGACATTGTAAAACTAAGAGCTTGTTTTTCCTTTGTAAAGAAAGTGTAACAGAAACAACAGTTTGCATCAGATGACAACTACACACTAAAAGAAAAGTCTCTATATAAGCTAAAGGCTATGAATAGTTTTTGCTCACCTTAAAACAGTACAAATCCTTGTTTGTACTGGTAGCTTGAACTTAAAATTAAAAAAACAATAAAAGATTTTCTTAAACAATTTATTTACCCTGAAGCTTGTCTTGAAGAACCAAAATCTGCTCGGCCTGCTTTAGGTTCGCAATCCTTAACTGGTGATTGTCAATTTCCAGCTGTAAGGACACATTTAATCTCAATTTAATGAAAGTAAAACAGAAATCTTAACAAAATGATGCATTTGGATTTGCAATGATGCATTTTCATCAAAGTGTCAAATGACACTTCATCCAGGACGACTTGTATTTGCACCTACTGTATACAAATACAACAGAATATTTAACTCAAACAATTCCAGTGAAGTAAGGTTGTTCAAGGGTACAACAGCAGTATGTCACCTGGGATTTGAATCCACAACCTTCCAGTTACAAGCAAAGGACCCTAGCCTTATTTAGGAAGGGAATTGGATATTTCCACTCACAGTATTTCCTTTGTGTAACTGATCAGGATCCTTACCTCACGCAATTTGAATGTCACCCATTCCTTAATTTTTGCTGCCTTTTCCTCAATGATCTTTGCCTCTTGAGCTCTCAGCACATTCTGAAATAAAAACAAAACGTAAATCAGTGTGTACTTTTCTCATTACAGCAGCTCTTGATAACTTTGGACAATGAAAAACATATAAATAAAGTTAAACAGATGAAAAAGTCAATAAGTATATACTGTATCACAACATTAAAAAGGAACTGGAATAGCAACATTAAGATTGTAAGTACCAAAACTAAAACTTTAAAAATGTAAATGTACAGTACATAACATTTCTTTCACTTGCCTTTGGGATTTTAAACATTAATACTGTCTCCTTTTTAAATATTTAATATAGTTGTTAAAAGTAATATACTGTAGAAAACAACTCCTAGTTTTTCACTATCCTCAAAATTTGCAAAAACAATTCAGATAGAATTGTTCTTACCTGTTTCTCCAACTGTAACTCCAGTCTTTTGATCATCGTGTCCTTTTCTTGAATTTGATTAGTCAGTTCTTGGCATCTCCTGTACAAGGAGTTCTCTGATTCGCTGGGCTGTACATTTGCCAATTTGAGCTTTTCTTCCATTACTTGAACCTACAACAGTAAGCCACATCTTCACTTCAGGAGCTTTGCTAAAGCTGCGAAGTGATTCATTAAGTGCTCAGAGAGGTTTCCATTTAACACAGGGTAGTGTAAAAGAACACTGGAGCAGTAAAGAAGCATACCACTACAAACTGCACCAACAACAAAATTCTTATTCTGTATAACCTCAGGATATTGCATTTGATCTGTGAAGACTTGATCACCCTCTTCAGATGCTGAACACTACACATCACTTCACTTTCAATAACAGCTTATCCAATTCAGTGTTATTGTCGCACACAGCCTATCCCAGGAAGCAATGGGCACAAGGGATACATTCTGGTTGGGACAGCAGTCCATCACAGGACACACATATTGTATAGGTAGGGATCCGCTTCATCCACCACTGGGTGCACATACAGTACTGTATGTATCAGCGGCCCTGTTACACATCAAATTGGGTACAGAAAGAAAAAAAAATGCTTCACCAAATAAATTTGAGGGGGAATTGTAAGGATCCAAAATGAGAAAACTCAAAAGTGGAGCTTAGTCGGGTTTAGCTTGTGTTTTATTATATTGTGATCTTTTATTACCAAGCAGTGAGGAGCACATTTTAAGGTCTTGTGCAAAGGAAGGTACATCAGCCATGTGTAGGTGATGAGATCAAACTACAAAGAATTAACATATGGTGATGAATGAGGGTTACCAAAAGACAGGTAATACTAGGAGTGTTCCTTCTCTGTTCAGCAAGGAGTGCCTACTACAAAACACAGCTACTACAAAACACTGCAGAAACTGAGCTCTTTCAGGAGTGGTGAATGTTGTCTCATCCAGCAGCTGGCGTGGCAGAAAACCTCTCCCTGTGCCTTCAAGATATTTGCACAATCAAGGAGTTGCAAGTGTTCACCATTAGCTGTGAATTTAATTCTCCAACTGGGATCAGGTGCTTAACTGTAATTAACTGTTCACCCTATACTCCAGTAGGAGAAATTAACACGATGCCTCAAAGGGGGGGAATAAAGTGTAAAGTTTTAAAAGCTGGCAAATTCCACAAATTATGTTGTTCTAATTTTTTTATAGGCAACAGTTGACCACGTTTCTGTGCCAGTTCTTCACTTGCAGATTCCCCCCCCCCAGTAATAGTTTAAATATGTTAGAAATATTTGACTAGGCCTCTGAAATGCAGCCACTCCCTCCTGGAATATGTAAGAAAAAGATTAAACCCTTGGGTTGTTTCTTCTCGCCATCAGTACAAGGCTGGAGGCACGCCCCTCAAAGGCACTCAAACTGTTCCATCCAAAACCAAGAACAATGAAGCATTTCAAAGAAACTTCTTTCCCCCAATCTTGTCCACTTTGCAGGGACTGTATATTTCTGAACTTAAAAACAAGAAAAACATTAAATGCACTAAAGTCAGTTTTAATCTTCAAATTCTGGCTGCAAAATGGTTTCATCACAAGATAAAATGCCATTCTTGGCATGGGTTGCATGAGAATTTACAGTCATCTAAATTCAAAATTAATTTTGTAATCCAAATTCATGGCCCCCTGTATAAGTGATCACTGCTGTGTCCCTTATTCGCTTGCACATTAACATTCAAATGGTGTGGTACAGACAGGCAGGGATGTCAGGCAGCTGCTGTATGGTTTTTGAGGAACCATGCTTCTGCTCCAAGTATCAATCTGTACTTACAATAGGGGTGCACAGTTATGAACCTGGGGGGCCTGTGTTTCTACAGGTTTTTATTCCTTCTTAGATCTTAACAACTTAAATCAGCTCCCTATTCTCTAAATGGGAGCAATTGAACAGCTTCTCCCAGCTCATCAGATGCTGGTGCTTCAAAGAGACCTAGAAAAGCTCCAGACACCCTGGCCCTCCGGAACTAAGATAAGATAAGATCAATTTATTAGCCATATACAATTTCTTGCATTAGGAATTTGTCTTTTCGCATACCCCAGCTTGCTTTCCATGAGACACACAGTCACACAGACGGGGAGAGAAAAGCTTGGGATCAGAGCGCAGGGTCAGACCCATTTACTGTATACGGCGCCCCTGGAGCAGCTGGGGTTAAGGGCCTTGCTCAGGGGCCCAACAGAGTAGGATTCCTCTGTCAGCTGCAGGATTTGAACCGGAAACCTTACAGCCACAGATCCTTAGCCACAGTGCCACCACTCTGCCCACTCCTAGAAACTAGGATTGCCCACTCCTGCTTTACACACCTGTGTTCAAGCAATTGGTGGTCTCATTAGATGTCAATCTGACTGGGACGTACCGTGTGACTCACACCATACATAAGTTAAAAACATCCGGTCTTAAACTCATTTACAACCACAGACTTTATTTCTCAGCCAGCACTTCCAAGAATACAGCTAAAGTTTTCCCAATTTAAGGAAGGCCTAAAAAATTCAATTGCAGGTCTGAAACTCCACAGCTTGCAAATCTCTCACTCCACCCAATTTTTCAAAGAGCTGAAAATGTTTTTTTTTAAGTGTAAATAGGACAGTAGTTACAGGTTTGTATGGAATTAAGAGATCGGTTAGAGCAGGGGTTTCCAAGAGAGCATTAGAGAGCACCAATCCAGCTGGACTTCATAGGTCATCTGTTCCTCAAGACTGGTAACAACCATAAGCTACAGTACTGATGAATCAAGTAAGTTATCTATTCAATTGAGAGAATTATGGTCATTGAGGACTGAAGAGTATATTTTAGTCCTAAATGATCCCTCAATTACTTAATTTGACATACAGTATCACCTGTTTAATTAATCAGAATAGAATTGCTCCATATCTTTAGAAACCAGTATATTATATACAGTAGTTATTGGTCAAAGCCTTCTGTACTGGGGCTCTACAAGACCAGAGGCGGAGACCTCCCATTTAGAGCTAAAAGCCATACAGAATATTTCTCAGGCTAGAGTTAGATAATGCACAGTTCAGGAAATCTTCCATGAATTAAAGCCACTGTTCTGCATTTGAGGCTATGCATTTCTGTTATCAAAACATCAATGAACAGCATCTCAAAACTTTTCTCTACAGTTATTTCCCAAGGCATTAAAAAACGTTGTGAATACAAATCTAGCAACAAACAATGCAGAAAATGTAGTTGGATGTCATTTTGAAAGATCAAAATATGCAAGAAAAATATAGTTCATGAATGTCCAAGCACTTGTTCTTCATCAAATTTTAAATTGGATTAAGATGCAAAGTTTAGCTTTTTCATCTCACCTCATTTAGATAACAAAAAAAGCTCAGCTGAAAAACAGTATCTCATACTCAAATCAAAACCAAGGAGCTTTTTCCAGATTTGTAAAAACACAAACATAGTGTATGAATCAAGACTGACAGCTGGAAAGATGATCTTAAACCTGATTTGCAAGCAGCAGGGTTGTTATTTTTTCTAATTTACACCATCTGGTTCTGAAGAGGAGGGAGGACGTCAAATGCAAAAGACTGCTGTCTCCACTGTGAAAGCTGTAGTCGGCACAAGATCAGACCCTTAAACAGATGACTGCTTGTAAATAATATATAATATGCTGTTGCTTACAACAGACAGAAACATGTACAAACAGATATCAGCCTTCTCAAGACCAAATTAGATCCTTTTTTTTCAGTGTATTTGAAGCATCAAGGCGTTCCGTTCAGCTTCAAACGACACAGCTCTTTAACTGCCAAAGGCTTCCACTGCAGAAATAGAGATCCTTGATCCACTTCCAGGTCATAGTTTCAGGCAAATTAAGAGTCTATATTCTATTATACCTTGTGGACTTTCTTATTACAGTATTTCTTATTATTATCCATGTTTTATTATTACTTTCCATCCATTTTCCCACTTTATCCAATTCCGGGTTCCGGAGCCTATGCCAACAAGTAACAGGCGCTAGGACTGGATGCCAGTCTATTGAATGGCACGCACTAACACCTGGGCCAATTTTCCCAGAAGCCAATTAGACTACCAGTGTGTTTCTGGGCTGTGGAAGGAAACTGGAGCTCCTGGAGGACAACCTGTGAACATGTGGAGAACATACAAATTCCACATAGATAGCACCCACCATCATGAATTGAACCCATAACCCCAGTAATGTGTGAGGAAGCACTTCTAACCACTGCGCCAACATGCTGTTCTCTTATTCTTAGTCTTAGACTTAGTATTAGCCTTAGTCTTAGTCTTATTCTTATAGTGCTGAATACCATTCCCTAGAAATAAAAACTCATTATACTTGGAAACAATAAAATGAAAATGTGGCCACTAGACATCCGTGTCTTACATTATTGTTGTGAACGATAATGTTTTGCCTGGACTTTTAGGCTGTATACAGAGGCACCAAACATGTGTGTTACACAAATTGTGAAACAAGCTTTGTAGGACCTGGGTGCATAAGAACAATGACATTTCCAGTTTTCATATATTATTTGGAGTTTTTGAATCCTGCATTTAAGTTTCCACAACAGCTATGTTCTATGGGACCTGGGGAAGAAAATCTACCTGTTTCTCTGCACTCTCTGCCCGCTGGTCCGCCTCTGTAACTCTCTGCTCCAGCTCCTGCATCTGTGGAGAGAGGACAAAGCAGAGCTCAGAGGAGCAGCGAGACAAGCAGAAAAGCAGAGGATGCCTTCCTTCATCTTCACATGTCCAGTGCTGTGAGGTTTGCTCTCAAGATGACTCAGTCACAGACTGTGTAGTTTGGTGTGGGGGCTGTCAGCATGCGTTGGCTGCAAGGGAACAAGAAAATCTTAAAAAGCAGAAAGAAGAAACACATTAGCTGTTGCGCTTTCTTCAGGTGTGAGGGAGAGAGAGGAAGGTATACTGTAGTAGCAGGACAGAGAAGGTGCAAATGGGCACAAGGGTGAGAAAGAGTCTCCACCTGAAGATGGATCTGGGAGAGAGGTGCAAAAAAAGCTGAAATCTTCAAATGAATGGAAAGTTTCTAAAAAAGAATTTATCATTGAGAGAAGGGAGAAAGCGTAATCCAAGTTTAAGGAGAATATCAGCTTTTTGGAATAAGAGTTCTCAAATCCTTGCGAAATGAAAGGTCAGTGTGATCAAGGCCAGGCAAGAAATGATCATACTGACTATACTACACTGAGTCTGCCAAATCTCATTTACTATCTCTAGTAACTATCAAGATACTGTATTCTGTTCTAATACATACATTGTATACATATATCAATGTAAATTCAGGATTTCAGAACCCCCTGCTCAGACTACGGCGCATTCCAAACACAAGTGAAATCCTATCGCACTTGTATGCAAATAAAGCGACTAACTTGGAATGTACAGTAGGTCAGAAGAAAGGTATCTATAGGTGTATTGCAGTTACTGCAGCAAATCGGTCATTAGCTGGGACTTCTCCTGGTTGAGAAGAACTGTTCCCTGGGCCACGTAAGACTTGACATATGTAAATGTGACTTTATATGAAAACCTCCCATAGTGACCTTGATAATTTTTTCAAGTTCAGGGAGCTTTGGGGGTTAGATACAACACAAGCAAATATCAGATGAACAACACGAATGAGCATAATGTGAACACCACCAGTTTTACACTTCAGTCTCACTTTGCTTTCACACGTGTGGTAACCTCTGTATGTCATCTCACACCTTGTCTGTGAAAATTGTAAATAGCTCGTACTGCAGTCAAATACCACGTGTTTAATTACTGAGCATTACACTGTAAGATAATGAAATGTATAGTACAGTATTTATAAATTCATTAAAAGGATACTGCCTCACCATATGAACAATCACCATATGAGTTTTAGGTTAAACAAGATGTAGTATTTCCAATCTGTTTTTTTCATTTAATGTTCTTCCAGTCTTAGGAGCTAAGCTCTGATAAATTATTGCATAGAATCTTCTTTACTCTCATCCTCTTAAATAAAGAACTGACTTTATATTTTATTATTATATTTACATTTTAAGTTTTTTTATAATAAAGGCTTTACATTTTTTAGTGTATATAGTACAGGATAGTACCTAATGTTTATGCATTGCCTAACACCTGTTACAATGTAACTACTGTAACTGTACTGTAAATGAGCAGGAGTATAATGGTTTTTCTACCTTTTGTTTATGCAGTTGCTAATGACTTGAAGCATGATACTTGAATAATTAACCAGGAATGTAATTTTTCTCATACTTCATTACAATTTTGTGCTGTATTAAGGGGAGGTATGGGTGTTTGAGGGACATTTTCGAGGTCTGGAACAAGTTGAAGATTGCATGACACATAAAGTGAATAAAGTGAGTATTCACTTTATGAGCAGTTTACAGGGAATGGATGAAGCTTGTATAAAGTTTGCTGTAATTCTCTTTCTCTCCAAAGTTCCATTTATTACTTACTTTAAAAAACTGTATATTTTGTCATGAATGCTTTGTTTTTTAATTCTTCACATTAAAGAGTTTTAAAACATTTTTTCTTTATGCAAAATATTTTTGTTTATATAGTAAAAATCATGAATAGTAATACTCTATGGTATTAAGGCAATGGCTGAAAGTGTGTCACTTGCGACTACGTAAAAACCTGTGAAATGGAACCTTGATGTACAGTAGGTCAGGAGTGGGTGTACAGTACCTACAAGCCAAAGCACATCATTAACAAGTCACAAACATCCGGCTGGAAGAAAGTGAGGCTCTCTTTTCCAAAAGAGACAGCCTGGCAGCCTGTTTCAGAGTGAACTGTGCACAATCAAAAGAATACTCAAGGTAAATGTGGTTAAAAAGATACTCTTTGTAGAGTGCCGGCAAGTGGGCAAACATAAGAAAAAAAACCTTCCCTGCTTCCATAGTTTACGGTTACCAAGCATTCCTGATGATTTCACAGGTCACCGGGCAGATGCCCATATGCCCGCATTCTGAAAGTGGGATAAGCAAACACGCACCTCCTCCTCTGCCTCTGACCCCTGCCCTGGTTCTACGGCCACATCCAAAAATAGCTAACCTCTGAGAATCTCCCAAAATACACAGTGATTTCAGGTATTGTCTCCCTCTCTCTCAGCAGAATCAAAGCCCTTTGATCCTATCAAGCACAAGTCCTTGGACTAAAATGTCTAGTCACTGATGAGTCTTATACATAAGTAAAACACAAGTTTTGTTAAACATATCAGTTCTGTTGTATTTTGCAAGCCATTCTACAGTACTACAGTGCATTTGCCCCTTTTATTTACTCAGTACAACCACATTACAAGTTACAGTGTCAGAAATCTTCCGTTCAAGTGCAATCGCATTAGTGAATCTCTTGGCTTACAGAACATTTTAGGCACTAAGGGAAACTGGTAGTTTATTTTTCAGGCATAACTGTGGGCAGGTATAGTTGGAAAGTGCTTCAGATAATTCAAAGCTCCAGAGCACTTTGTGACACTGTATTGTGTCCTCCCTGACCATACCTCCAGTCTAGGGTGCTAAAATGGTGGTTCTGTATAAAATTAGAGAAGAAATCCTCCATACACCATACAGTGAGTGTTACAGCAAAACACAACTGTGACTTAAAAAATCGAATTCATTCAGTTTCACTAATGAGGGACCATGGTTCCAGAAGGTGCAATGTTATTAATCCTTTATCAGAAGATTAATGATCTTTATGGAATTTTCAATGCAAAATGTTTAAGCACTGCTGGTTGGAAGAGTTAGCAAAATTTGTCATTAAATAGTTTAGATCTAGTCTAGGATGCACTGAGGTGCATAAAAAGGGGTCAGGAATTGTAGCTTACTGCTAATTTTAGTTTGTTTTCATTTTATTGTGCCTTAGACTAGTTTTACTGGTTAAGTACCTTGAGATGATGCATCATGAAACCTAGTGTATGAAATGGTTCTTATTATTATCAAGGTGATATGAAGAGCAGAGCTTTGCTCGATTCAGGTTTTGAGAGCCATGGGCTCTTCTACAAATCACATTCATGATGCAATTGAATTTACATTCTCTTTTTTCTTCATTCACATTGAGGAATGTAAAAAACCTGCAGGGGTGTTATTCTGGTGAACTGCACAGTTTGGGAGACGGCAGAGCTCATATCCCTCCAGTAGGAGGGAGTAGTAGTGGTTTCTTCACTACTGGCGAGAGGAGGGGGAAATAAAAACTAAAGGAAATGTGCCGGTTCTATAATATGTAAAGTGGTTCCCAGCCTAAGTACCAGTCTGCGGTGAGATGGCTTTTCCTCTCAAGCAAGCCACAGGTATCTCTCCACAGTTCTGCTTTTATTTGAAACAGATGCAGAGCCGAGTCTCCAATGTGAAACTACTGAACCTGTTTTGAGTTAAATTCCCATATGTGGAGGACTGGTTTCAGCACTTCAGTAATGACAGTCAACTGTGCTTTGTGTTCCATTTAAACCATTTAAAACATTTACACAGAAGAAAAGCTAATTGTCTTGCATGTAGGCATTCACAACTTCCTATTCCCATTTAATACAGTCGGGTTACAAGAGCTAGCAGCCATATCACCCTGCAGCTCTCAACTGGCTACCCACTGAAGCTAAGCAGGGTTGAGCCTGGTCAGTTCCTCAATTTCCCTTGGGGATCAATAAAGTCTTATCTATCTATCTATCTATCTGGATGAGAGACCTCCTGAGGAGCTATGGTTGCTTCAGGAAATGGTGTTAGTGAGACCAGCGAGGTCGCCCACCCTGCGGTCTGTGTGGGTCCTAATGCTCTGGTATAGTGGCGGGGACACTATACTGTAGTGGGCACCGTCTTTTGGATGCAACGTTAAACCGAGGTCCTGACTCTCAGTTGTCATGAAGGATCCCAGAGCATTTTCTCGATAAGAGTAGGGAATTATTCTGGGACAAATTTACCCTCTCTGCCTTTACCGTGGCCTCCAAATTGTCCCCATGTACGATTGGCTTGCACTTGCCCTGTGATGGACTGGTGCCCCGTCCAGGGTGTATCCTGCCTTGTGCCCGTTGCTTGCTGGGTAGGCTCCCTACGACACCGTAAAGCAGTTTGGCGAATGATATGACATGACATGACATTCATGTACAGAAGTAAATAGGGATTTTGAAGAAGGAGTCTAAATGAATTGTCATTCCATTCATTTGAGGCATTTTAATTTATGATTAGCTGTTCGGGACACTGCTATTAGAATACCATTCTGTAAAAATGCCTAACAGGATTTCAGAACCCCTGCTTATGCCAAACAGAATAGAATGTTCAGAATATGGTGTATTCAAAACGCAAGTGAAATTCTATCATACTTGAATACAAATGAAGTGACTCACTTGGAATGTAGGTCTGAACAAACATGTCACCAGGTGTATTGCATGATTTGAAGTACTTTAAAATGGTTGTTAAAAATTACTTTACACTAACAAGGGATCAAAAAACACTTGTTAAACAGAACAGTACCAGAGTTGGGCAGCCCTGTTTTACAGATTGTATGAGCCCATCTCCCAAGTGTTAGATATCATTGTTAGTGTGAAAAATAAATATGGAGGCAGACGTCAGGACTAAGGTATCACAAAGTCAAATACTGAATAATCCTGAACAAATTAAAAAAAAAACTGCTGGTCTAAAGCTCCTTAGAGCCCTCCCACTCCACCATCCTGAAGCAGATAA